AAGACAATAGATGGCGTGGTTCGTAGTGCTGGGTGGAGGGTTCGTAACAGGTGGCATCACGAAAAAAATCAGTTCAGTTGGGGGGGTCATAAACAAGTTTATTGGACACCAAGTCATGGAGGAAAGTTGCGAACGGTTGTCAAAGTCAAACAGTTCACGAAGGCTTCGATCTTATCTTCCCCCAAGGAGCTAACTAGCTTACACATTGATAGGAAGACTACCATAAGTGGGCACAGTTCTCAGATTAGGCCAGTTAAAGTGAAGGTAGGGGTAGGTCAGACCATAAGTATTAGATTTACGCATAAGGGGCTGAAACAACAACCGGATATGTGTGTGATAGTCCAAGATGATTCCTGTGTTTATGTTCCTATGAGTAATGTTTCAGAGCAGCCAGTTTGTTTGAGTCCGGGTGCGGTTTTAGGTGAATATGAAGTAGTTAATGATGAGGAATTCTGTTACTTTGATGATGAAGGGAATAATCTCGGAACTAGCTCACACATTTATGAAGAGTTAGGTGAGGTAGGCCGGTCTGTAGACATACCCCTGTGCTCACCACATCACCTGGCCATACAGAGAGAAGATGATAAGAGGTCTAACAAAATCCCCTTAAGACTGACTCATGATGTGAAATTCCCAACTCAATGCTTACTTTGTAGGGGTATGGAAAATTCCCCAGTCCACAAAATTAGACGAGCTCAGGAAGTACTAAATTCTATGGTACCAGACTGTGATGAAGTGACACGTGGGGAAACTAGACAGGACAAATTGAAAGAGTTAATTAGGACCCAGCAATGGCCACACTTAGATAGGGACATGCGGACACACTTGCAACAGGTGGTAATGAACCATGATGCGTTGTTTGTATTAGGTCCAAATGAAATAGGCACCATTAAGGGTTTGCCAGCTAACATCCCATTGGTTAATGAACAACCTGTAAGAGGACCTCAGTATAGGTACCCCGAGAAAGCCAAGGGTACTATTAAAGAAATGATGAGAGACATGAGAGATAGGGACATCATTGAACCATCAACCGCTGTCTGGCTATCACCTATCGTGTTAGTAACTAAACCTAATGGGTAAGTTATTGAGTTTATCAACCAGATCCATATTATTCTTGATATTGGAGTTAGAAATGTTGCCAACTAGGGGATTTAGTAAAGAAACTAACCATTTAGATAGTTTATAAGAGATTGACCCAACTGAGCTAATGATGGGTCTTGCTGGGTTATTGGGTTTGTGGGTCTTGATTACACCGTACATGTATGGCAGTGGAGGGGACGTTGAAGTAAGATGTTTAATGAGCGTAGCTTTGCCTTTCAATAGGGACTTCAGTTTTTTGTTGAACTGGGTGTTGACAGTGTTGAGAGGATTAGTTATAAGTTTAGAATATGTTGTAGTATCACATAAGAGGTCATTCATTTTAGAGATATAGTCATCTTTGTTTAAGATCACTACTGTGTTGGCTTTATCTGCTTTAGTGACATGTAGATCCTTATTTTTCTTAAGGGCTTGGATTGCTTTGGTGAATCTTTCTGGACAGTTTGGAACACAAGGCTTGGACATAGATGCATACACGACACCTTTACACATGTTCACTTCTTCACTTGTCAAATTACTGAATTTCTCCAAATTGCAAAATGCTCTGGCTATGTCAACACTGTCGACTCCCTTGTTAGAACCATCAAAACTTAAACCATAGCCGAGGGCACACAAGGTATCATTGTCTAGTTGTTTCGAGGAGAGATTCACTACACAGTTGTTATTGGCATCCTTAGTCCAATCACTATTTCTAATAAGGAGTGCCAATTTGTGGTCTATCTTGGCTTGAAGATCAGAACGTTCACGTCTCAGGTTATCAAAACAGTAGTCTAACATGAACTTTTTCCAATAGCTCGGTATGGTCATATTAAAAGCGCGCTTTTTTTGTCTTACAATACGGAAGGCTTCATCCACTTCAATTTTCTTTATTTCAAAATGTTTCTTAAGGATGATTTCTTGGAACTCATCAAAGGGGTGGTCAGACATCTTCAGGACACGTTGTGGTAGGATTGATCTGGGCATAACTTTTTCACTGAGGCATGTCTGGAGAAATTTCAAACGTATTTTCAATTTGTGGGCCTTGATCATAGAAGAGGAGTATTCAGTAACGAAAGGAGACAGTCCAGGACAGCTTGTAGAGAGGATGAAGAAGTGTCGCGTGGAATCCATTTTTGCAAGTAAATCACTGTAGGTGCGCGTGATCTAGGTATATGCTGATAACCACAAGGAAAGAAGAAAACACGAAGTTCCCAAGCGCTTTCGTGTAATTCACATCTTCAGGGGTGAGTACAGACTAGAGAGAGAAATACAAATCAAGGTGTATATATACAGAGGAGGGTGAGACCAGGTCCACAATGGTCAGGTATTAGGTAATGACCCTACTAATCTTTAAATGGCACACAACGGTTGGTGGTCAGGTCAGATGGTCAAGTGACCCGGCCTTCTCACCTGATCACAAATCTTCTTAATTACAAAATTGTCCAGCTTGTACATGCCGTTACTCAAATTCATGTTGAATGCTTCGGTATGTTTAATAAGACTAGATTCTATGATGTTCCTACTATCAATTGAATTACATGGTAATATTGAGGAGGCATTATCCCAGTCAATGCAATGCTTGTTATCCCTCAAATGAACAAACAGAGCATTGGATTCCTCTCGGCCTGTCCTAACACTGTATTTGTGTTGTTTCTAATTCCTAGTTGCAAAGATTCACCTGTCTGGCTCAAGTAAAACATACAGATTCCTTGCAAAGTGAACTCTTATAAATGCAAACTAATTGTGTTGTTGGGGAGTTCTTTTACTTAACATTTGTTTAATACATGAGTTTCTGTAAATGCCACATTGACGTTCCAGGTTTTAGCATATATATATATATATATATATATATATATATATATATATATATATATATATATATATATATATATATATATATATATATATATATATATAAAGACAGATCTACTAATTGCATACACAACGGTTGGTGGTCAGGTCAGATGGTCAAGTGACCCGGCCTTCTCACTTGATCACAAATCTTCTTAATTACAAAATTGTCCAGGTTGTACATGCCGTTACTCAAATTCATGTTGAATGCTTCTGTATGTTTAATAAGACTAGATTCTATGATGTTCCTACTATCAATTGAATTACATGGTAATATTGAGGAGGCATTATCCCAGTCAATGCAGTCCAGTCACCTGACCTGACCACCAACCGTTGTGGGCTATTTAAAGATTAGTAGGGTCATTACCTAATACCTGACCATTGTGGACCTGGTCTCACCCTCCTCTGTATATATACACCTTGATTTGTATTTCTCTCTCTAGTCTGTACTCACCCCTGAAGATGTGAATTACACGAAAGCGCTTGGGAACTTCGTGTTTTCTTTCTTGTGGTTATCAGCATGTATATATATATATATATATATATATATATATATATATATATATATATATATATATATATATATATATATATATATATATATATATATATATATATATATATATATATAATAATAATAATAGTTATCCTTTTCAACTGAGCATTTTCTATGATATTGTAGGGGTATCGAGATATTAATGTTGTCTAGCACTCAGGATGGAAGGAAACTCTAATGTGGTTTTCTTGTATAATATAAGTTATATGATAGACAGTCTGGTGCTGGAGGTGCCGTGTGGTGAGGAGCTGCTCAGTAGAGACGTTCGGTGAGTAGCGTGTTGAAGGAGGTAGATGTGCAGGAGCTTCGTTAGAGAAGATGTTGCCTGTTGCTGGCCTCCTGGTTGAATGAATGCTGACAGCGTGGAGCTTGCTGGAGGAGGTGTTGCTTGTTCAGGAAGATGGACAGAATGAGAGTTGGTTGGTGAGGAAGCTCAGAGAAGGACAGCTGGTGGGTCGCCATGCTCGCTGGCGGGAGCGAGGGCCGCCAGGCAGGCGAGGAGAAGCGAAGGCAGCCAGGCAGCGGCGGAGGAGGAGGTGTTGCTTTTTCAAGAAGAATGGTCAGAATGAATCTCAATGGAGAGACAGAGCTTATATACCCAGCAGCCGCTATGAGTCATGTTGGGAAAACCCGAGAAGTTGCCGGTTCCTGGTTCCGTTGCTAAGATAAGGTAACATCTGGTTGGTTGCTAGGGAAGGCGGTAGCAGGTGGTGACTGTGGCTACGCAGTTGTAGGGGAGACGTCCACTACAATATTCACTCCTTTTATCCCCTTTATTCAATATAATGCTGTACTGCTCCACCTGATTTTAAAGTTGTTTAAAGAATCTATTGTGTAATATTTCATACAATATATATGCATAATAATAGTAAAGAAAAATTAAATTGTTACTTATATCCTATAAATGTGTCACATTTAACAAAGAAAACGTTTTTATGACTTCATGGTCTCGTAGCCAGTCACATCGCGAGGAAGATAACCAATCAGAGCGCTCAGGAAAACACAGTTAGAATTACGGCCGCCCTGATCTAGACGTGACTGACCGCCCAAGCGGTTAACTATTACTAGACGATCAGTGGCGAAGAGGATAAAAGTAAAAGTAATATATACGTTACATAATAGCATCCACCATCTTGTGTGGCACACCGCTGGCAGCAAACACACACAGCAAAATCTTGTTTAACGACAACAGACAGAAAGGACCAACCAGCCATAAGGTAAATTAATCAATTCACTACTAGGTGCCACTTTTAATATTTTGACTAATTCCAGATATTGTTATTCAACTCAGAAAGGAGCTCATACACAAGGAGGTAACGATAGTTCAGGTCCAGTCAGGTTAGATCCGGTTAAGTTGTCATGTTAGGGCCGGTTATATTAGGTAAGTTATGTTATTTCTTTTTAAGCTAGGCTTGTTAGGTAGGTTAGCTTAGGCACCCTCTGGTTAGGTGAGGTAAAAAAAAATATTAATGTTTTGCATTTTTAATGAATGGTTGACCAACATCCTTTACCACTTACTCTTCAAGTTTAAAACTAACAGTGTATTCGCAGTGTCTGCATATGTGGTGCGGATGAGTCGTAAACACAGCCTCCTGATGGAAGAGAACTTCAACGATGCGGGAAACGACACCTTACTGCTAACACAGCCTGAGTCTGAAAACATGACCAACTTGCTACTGGAAGCTGGTCAGAGGATCAGTCTTTATCTAGACCTAAAAGAAGAACTTCATAAAGATGAGATTTACTACGTTGCCTTACGAGCCGTTGATGACGTCAACAAACAAAGGTAAGCTAGCCAGTTACTTTAAGTAGTTTTAAACTGCTTCGTTCAGTGTTTCGTAAAGGTATGTCAGGTGGTTATTTCTCACAAATAAAGCTGTAAAAACTCATCTGAATGGTTAACTGAAGTTATGAGGGGCAGTCAGAAAGGTTTTTCAACCACGAAATATAATGAAATGGCAGAACAACAACTCATATGATATTATTCTATAAAATTTCCTCGACTTCAGTACACTCATCTAACTGGTCTTTCAAACTCACTAAGGCTATCTTCTAACTGCTTCCCAAACCACACTTCAGTTCTGGAACCAGACCTGGGCTGTAGGAAAGGCAGCTGGGTTGTTCCAAATCAGTTATCAAGACATTTGTGTATCACTGGATATTTTGACTAGCATTTTGTCGTGGAACAAGGGTACATCTCCTTATGGCATTCCGCTCACGTCTCCTGGACAACTTCGCCTAATTGTTACGTTAAGCAAGCATACTAGTCACCGGTGATCATTGCTCAATGTGACAGTACTTAATCAGCAGAATCCCTCTCGCAATCTAGAAAATCGAGGCCATGATCTTGCTGGCTCAGGTTTGGCTTTTCAACATCTTGTGGGTCAGAGAATTTGGTTGCATCCATTGTAGGATTTCATTCTTCATTCAGGATGCAAATGATGAAAACGGATGTCATATTCCATCACCAGAAGAAAAAAATAGGGCTAAATTGACTTGGAAGAGTTCAAGTACCTCGTGACTTTAGGCATCCTCTGATGTTGACCGTAAGTACTGGGGTCACGAAAAACCCTTCTGGCAGAAGCCATGGGTATCTCTAAATGTTCCTGAATAATAGTCACAATATGTGAAATGTAAAATGCCAACCTCAATTGTCATTTCATCGGCAATGTTATGCCGAACCGCCATAATAAAGCTCTTGACTCAGGCTGCGGTTGCTTCTCCTGTGGCATATTAAGGCCGTCCTGACGGGCTCATCCTCAAGAGTCTTATGCCTATACTTGAACTCTTTGTTACGGTGACAGAAAGGAGTCATCTGTGGCATTAACTCCCACGACGTGTTGATGAATTACTTCAGGTGTGGAACTTCCTATTGATGGAGTTTTATGAAATTCTTGTCCTCAATTTCCCCAAGTACCGCAATTTATCTGATTTCATATTTTAAACTCTCAATCAGAATCCTCGCCTGTGTCATGCAATCAATCTAACTAAAAAATACCTAAGCATTCAACTTCATTTTTTTAAACAATTAGAGCACTATCGTATTGATTGCATTGTAAAACGTTTAGATGCTTCTCTAAAAGTATAGAAACGAATTCAAGAAACAGCATAAAAATAAGCTAAGACACTGTTCTAACTTTAGCAGTCAGGCAGTACTAAAAAGTTTAAACGTTTATCTTATTTTTCTAACACTTGTTTAAGAGAATGCGTGTGTAAGTTTAATCTTTTTTTATTTAATTTTTTTTTAACTAAAGTAAAACAGGTAGGCATTGTACGTACAGCTGGGGGCAAATAAACCAACTATACACACCTAGTGTCTGGATGGCAGTACTCTCGTGATCCCGACGTAGTAGGTGTGAAATTTTATGAATGAACTCGTCTATTTGCAACAGTGATTGTTATTGGTAAACATGTGTTTGCCTGTGTATATATGTCGGTAAATACAGTTTACGATGAATTGAGCATTAAGAAAATATACTTCAAATAATTACTTTTTACTGGGGACCCTCACAAAAATTTATTCTTCAAAGTGTAATGGAAATTAATATTAGACAGGATTCAGAGACCAGGTAAGCCTAAGTAATACCAGGCTGGCCACATGTTACTAAGACTACAAGTTTGAGATACCAAACGTGTATGACGAAATATCTTTGTCAAAATCAAAGGTGCTTGACGAACGAACGTTGGTTCTCTTATTTTTGGATGTATCATTTCATGTTTAGAAATTCAGGGGGTATTAAATGTGGTGTAAATCATTTAAATGAAACAATTGGTCATCCTGCTCCACCACCTACAACCTTCACAGTTTTTTTTTATTATTATTTATTGGGCACTCCCCTACATCCTTGTGTAAGGTGAAGCGCAAAGCGTTTACAGTGCCCAATAGAGAAGCATGCTAAGTTCATGCTTGCCTTTATGTCTCATGAGTTAAGGGCGTAGAAGCCTGAAGAGTCAAGGGCATCGAAGCCTGAAGAGTCAATGGTTTATGTCATCAAGTTATTGGAAGCTCCAACAACTTGTCCCTGAATACGAATTCGCAACTTTCGATTTACACCAGGTACCTACTTTACTGCTAGGTGAACAGGGACTAATGGGGGCTAGGAAATATGTCCAAACAACTTCCACCGACCCGGGAATCGAACCCACGACATCTCGCTTGCGAAGGCAAGAGCGGTACCACTCTACCACCAGCACCCCCGAACCTTCACAGTCAACACGATAAAATGCCTTGTTCATAGTTCCCATATGTTTAACATGAAGTGTGGGATCGTAAATCAAATCTTGCCAGAACCGTTTTCAAAAATAAGACGATAAAATATTACTTTAGTAACCTGTTCCAGTTGGAACAAGGAATAGTTAACGGGAATTAGTAAGATTTACGTGTATATCATATGATTATGAAATCAAGTTATGAAAGCGTGACGGGATTTTTTTTTCTGAATGATTAGGTATCAATTTACTGTACATTACACACATCGTATTTATTTTACATTAAATAGCAGCAATGCCAATACAGAATGTGTTGCTGCGATTCCCCGACTATAAGTATTATTTTTTTTTTTATGTCTCAACATGGATAACACCTCGTTTTCTGTAGGTCGCCTACATGCACACATATGGTTTTCGGTGAGCATTATCATTCCAGCATAAGAAAGACAGCTGGAGCATCTCTTATGCACATGTGTAAAGAATGGTGACATGTATGTTCTAAGTTATATTGGTGAGGCATAGAAATGTCCATATATAATTTTAATTATATTTCCCTCAAAATTGCTTGGTTTTGAGGTGCATCTGATACAGATCGACCAATTTGCAAACATGCCAAAAACCTGGTTGTTTTGCATAACTATTGTAAATGCTACAACTCAACTACTACATATATTTTTTCAATGATAGTTTTATTTTCACGTAGCATCTATATCATTTACAGAGGGAGTATGTCTGAGTGATTGAGTAGACATCAATTAACAGAAGACACTTCCTCCTGTCTGAGGGTTGGTGACCAAGGCTCTCCATATTCACGCTGTCCTCCCCAGCTTTCCTATATCTTCGAGAAACCGGCTTTTAATTCCCTTCATCCATTCTAGTCTTTGCTTCCCCCTGGCTTTCCTACCTTCAATTTTGCCCATAAGTGGAGATGGTTTATTAACTAGGGGTCTCTCTGGGCACAATGAAATCATCTGGTGTTAGCCAAATATTAAAAGTGGCGTCCAGTAGTGAAGAGGTTAGTGGAGATAGTTTATTAACGTCACCATTATCGCATCATCCCTGAGTATTTTTTACGGGAATTAGCCCACCCAGGCACAGGTCACCGATCCACGTCGGAGCCTGAAGGGACGAAAAAAAAAATGAACAAAAAATAGACAAAAATGAAAAAAAAAAAACGAAACAAATCAAGATTGAGAAACAATATATGTGTTGTGGTGGCAGAAAAAGAAACAATTGAGACCCTGCAATTGTGTGTAAATGAGGCAGAAAGTCAAATCATCTACCTGGGACTTGGTCACATTATGGCACAGGGTCAATCATTAGACAACACATTATGCTTCCAATATCTTCCCAGGCGTTAGTCCCTCCCTGTTTGATAGCTGCCAAATACCCACTACTATATTGCCAAGCCCATGGTATATAATTTTCTTTATATTATATAATTTTCAGTTGTCTCAGTCAATCTTAGTACATTTTCACTTGTTTTCCTATGAGTCAACTTATTTTTAAGATTCCCCTGTAGCACCACCGTTCAAAGGCTCCTCGTCTCCTTCTGGTGTCTTCTGAAAATATCCACACTTCTGGGCCACATGAAAGTATTGACCATACGTATTATTTCAGGTATATATATTTTTTACAGTGCTGTAATATTAATGTCCCTTTTAATAAGGCCTTTAAGATAATTAAATGCTGGTTTTGCTTGAACTATTTTTGTTTTGATTTCTATTTCACACTTACCATTACAACTTATTTTATTCCACAAACACCAAATTCTCCACCTGTTGGAATTTCTTGTTGCCTACCATTGTTTTGTTGTTATTATTTTTTAATCAATCATTACTTCCGTGCTTACAACATTAACTCCAAGCCAATTATGTTTGCCTTTTTCACATGTCTGTTGACCAGTTGTTGAAGTGAATCTTCACTATCTGCATTAAATGCATCATGGTCTGCATACCGATTACCATGAACTTTGAGTCCTTCATCGCTACTTAAACCTTCTCTTATCTAAAATTCTAAATAGGTATCATATAATGTTGGGGTCTCCATACAGCCTTGTCTAACCTTAAACCAACTAGTAAGTTCAATATATAAGAGCATAGTTTGTTTGCTCAATATTTATAATTTGTAAGATTACAAATAAATCAGATTCTGTGTTATTATTGTTCATCGTAGCCGCGCCTCTGAACTCAAAATGAAAAATAGAACAAAATTATTTGCTTTAGCAATATGGTAAAAGATATAATATCCATACAGTATTTACTTACCACAAATAATAATCCATTGTTGTATATGATATTTCCAATAAACCAAATGCATAGAACAATGAAAATAACGAATTATAGATTTGCATTTAGTTCTTTCTCCATTGTTATCTATGACAGCCATCAACCTCTCTGACATAAGAAGAAACGTTGTTATAGACCAGCCTCTAAATAGTTCCCATTGGGTATGATTTATTAAGTGGTCCTCTCCTAGACTGGTTCCCATATGTTTACCACGTTAGCGCAAATGTTCTCCAAGGGTTTCATAATTATCACACCTCCTACTGGGTATCTAGTCATTCCAAATTAGAATGGTCAACAAATCATTGCTGCACTATGCTGTCCACGTGGGTTGTTGATTATATGTAGAAGTCCGAGCGCTTTATGGGCTAATGAAATATATATGGAACCTCGTGTTTCGAAGCAGGATTTGTTAAAACGTTACTCTGATCACTTACGAGGCACGGGTAGTTCCCTATTGGAGGTTCACGGCACCATAAGCTCGATGAACAGCCTTTGTGTGAAATATAACAACGTCTAGGACTGCTTTTAGTGTCCTAGTGGTCTAGAGCAGCGCTTCTCAAACTATCTGATGTGGCGTACTGGCATGGTTTTTTTTCAATGTGCCACGGACCGGCGAGCGAAGCGAGCCAATCCCGGGGCCTATAGGCCCCCCCCCCCCAGGAAAATCTTTTGAGATATGTCCTATTTCAGGGGCATTTTGAGACTATCTGTACTAAACATGAAGACATGATGTCTTATTCATTCTAAGGCCAATCATCATTGACGTAACAAGTCTTCCCAGTGTGCCAGGGACCAGTACCATATTTGTGCCATACAATTGATTGTTTACGATCAGAGAAAATATTATTTGAACATTCGTAGTAATATTATTTTATACAGGAAAAATATAATGAATATAAAAGTGGGTTGGGATGGGGTCCCAAATGACAAACACGCAGATACCCGTATGATGCTCTCTGTTCCACTTCTTGATGGTAACTAACCACTGACCTGTGACCTGACATCACAGACTGCTGATCCACACGTGTGGAATAGCAGGGTTGCCAGCTGTGTGACACCCTTCACGGCTGGCACGCATAGTAAAAAATCGGCCATTTCTTTTAATGGGATGCATACATTTATTTTATCCGAAATTAAATAACTACCATACTTAAAATAAAAAGATTTATGTTTTGGGTGGATATGGCGTAACTGGTGGCCGAGAAACGTGGCAATTCTGGCAACACAAGGTGATGCGCCCTATTGATATCCCCAGGTGTGGTTCCCACAGAGTCAAACGCCACATCATCATGAAGGTGTTGTTATACGTATTTCAGTTCGCTGTTTTGCTGTTCATTATATCGCATTCGTTAGTTGCATAGCAATGACTTTTAACATGAGTGAGTAAATGAAAAATATAGCCATAATAAATATAAAAACTACAATGAAAATGTAAAAAAAAAAAAGACCGAGTCAGATGTCCCGGCAGTGTCACGTGGTGTGGAACGTGACTATCGTTTCTTTCTTTTCTGAAAACTCTCCGCGTACCGGCAGACGATGGCTCACGGACCGGCACCAGTCCGCGGACCACACTTTGAGTAGCACTGGTCTACACCACATTTAATACCCCCTGAATTTCTAAGTATGAAATGTTACATAAAAAAATATAAGGGAACCAACGTTTGACAAAATTATTTCATTCACGCCTGGTTTCTCAAACTTGTGGCCTTAATGACATGTGGTAAGTGTGGCATTACAAGGCTTGTCTAGTCTGTGATTCTTGCCAAATAATAATTTTAATCACACTTTGAAGAAAAAGGTTCCGTGATGGTCTCAGGTAAATGTATTTTTTTTATTCATTATTAATTGTATTTAACGGCATATATATATATATATATATATATATATATATATATATATATATATATATATATATATATATATATATATATATATATATATAGAATCAGACCTTGACCTACTGGGTCCGAGGAGTCGTTCTTGGCTGTGAGTCAAAGTCCGCGTGTTATATGGACTAAAAATGAAGTATATATATATATATATATATATATATATATATATATATATGTATAGTTTTTTTTTGGGGGGGGGATTAGCCCACCTGAGCACAGGTCATTGACCCACATCAGGGCCTGAGAGGCGAAAATGTAATAATAATATTAATAATAATGATAGTAATAATAACAATAATAAAGAACCATAAAGAATTACAAAAATGAAAAAAGGTCAAAAGTGAGAAACAATATATGCATGTTGTGTTGTCAATAGTAAGTGAAACAATTGAGACCCTGCAATTGTGTGAAAATGAGGCAGAAAGACCGATGAGCAACCTGAGACTTGGTCACAATTTGTGTGATGCCATGTGGCAGCAGAGTCTACCATCGACAACACATTATGCTTCCAATATCTTCCCAGGCGGTAGTTTCTCCCTGTTTGGTAGCTGCCTACTACCTCCCTTATATATATGGGGATACATTCTTAACCAATCACAATCACCATTACTAATGGATGAGTTCAATCCTAAAATTTCCCACCTTACTATGTAAGGGATGCCAGGTACCACCAGCCAATCACTGGACGTGTAGCAGGTTCATTTGTCCCGAACTATAGATTCTCATCATCCTTTAAGAGAACTATTTATCAGAAGGTTATTAGTGAATCTGTACCTGGGGCTCTTCCTAGCCACAGCGATGATATAACTTGATATAAACGTTATGCCTTACAGCCGGGTGTCCAACTTGGCACTGGTTGTGGTGCCAACGGCAGACAACAACAACAACAACAACAACAGTCTGCCAGATTGGGCCATCGCTCTCATCGCCATCGCCTGTGTTGTTCTTCTTGGTGGTCTCGTCGCTGGCATCATTCACCAAATGAAGAAAAAATAAGAGAATGAAATTAAATACTAATTCAATGAGTGAAGGAAAATTATAATATTTATGAAGTAGAACAGTAAGAAATAACACAAATTCACCTAAAATAAACTGTAATTTAAGAGAAAACTTGAATGCTTATGTAGATAGTAGATATTACTATATAATGAATAATAATCAGAGGAATAAACACTAACATAAAGAAAGGGTGATATGCTAATATAGAAAGATAAAACGAATGTACATGAAATGTAAAGAGAAACAAAACCAAGTACTGTACTTTACAGTATTACCATATTGAAGAAAATCTCATACATTTGACAATATTATTAATAATTATTATCATCATGTAAAGCTTCACGGCCCAATAGTAAAGTATGTAAAGAGCAATCATGAATTTTTCTTAATATCCCTTTTGGTATAATACATAAGATACACGAGTTTATTGTTAAACATGATAAAATAAGATGTTGGTAGTAGGCTAATCCCTTCTGGCATAATAAATGGCCAATCTGGAAGAGAAAGGACTGTAACTGTGTATGGTTCTGGAAATTTTGGTGAAAAATCATAATTTACAATCTTTACTGTAACGAAACACCAGCAGTCCCGAAGGAACATTGATCCCGCTGCTAAGGCAATGACTGATTTGAATTTAACGTGGATTTAAAATGTAAGTAGTGATAAAAAAGTGGTTTCCACAATATTCCATTCGTATATCTGAACGTTCATTCACATCACTTCAGTTTTAAGATACTATAATTGTTAAATGAAATAAGAGAAACAGCAGTCGCATTAAACCAAGTACAAAAATGAAGAATAAATAAACACAGAATTTTTTGTAAGATTTGTTGAATGTCATGATACTTATAGTAAAGTGAACTGAAATTTGGTAATGGAGACTCTCCTCCTCCTCTTCCCGTACCTAGGAAATCTACCCTTCTCCTACAGACTGCTAGATACTGCACTTACAGGTAACTGAGTTTCACAGGAAGGGGATATGAATCTTTAAAGAAGATCTGTTGAGGGTGCAGCCAGTGTTGAGTTAATTCTAAGTTAAATGTACCCTGTAATACAAATAGCCTAAGTCGTCCTTTTTTTCTGTGGGTCTAGTCGTGATGGTGGTACAAGAAGCTCCAGCTAACTCAAGAAGCAACAGCTACCTCTGCCCATAATCCATCCAAAAATAATGTCACTAATACGTTTTCACTCATATTATTAAGCTTATACTTTGACAAACTCAGTGTTGTTTCACAAAAATAATAGATGCAATACAATTGTATACTCATTGTAAATGCCTGGACATTGGGACATAAATCCCTTGTCAGCCTAATCAGGATCTTATAAAAGGAAAATCAAGAACCATGGGTTTCCAAGGGGTGACAAACAACCGTTCGAGATTGACATCTCTTTACTACGAAAATAATCACAATAATTGACACCACTCACACAAATATAATAAACAATTACTGGGGTCAAACAAGTAATAGTGTCAAACAATTAAGGGAGTCAAGCAGTCAAGGGAGTCAAACAAGTATGGGAGCCAAACAAAGTACATGTAACGGCACCATTTGTATTATATAAATATTTACCAAATGTATAATACCAAAATATTCACCAGGTCATTCACCAATGTGTGTGAATGAATTGGTGAGATGACATTTCCTCCGGGGAGCGAACGAGGTCAAGCTGGGTCAGCTCATCTCAGCAACAAGCATCTGATGCGTTTCCTTTTGTGGCCTGCTTGTCCACCCTCTCTCCCTGGTGAGAGAGAGAGACTTTCATATCACTTACCCAGTGAACATCTCACTTAAGTGTTCTCCTGAAGTGCACTAAGACACTTCCCTTAGAATATAGAAGGTACAATATATTCTCAACTGAACTCAGTATCTGTGAATCTATATTTTCTACAATAAAAACAACAAAGTGTATACTTCAGCCCTGTCTCTTATCAATTCAAGAACTATATATATATATATATATATATATATATATATATATATATATATATATATATATATATATATATATATATATATATATATATATATACACTGGTGGCAGCGGTGAGATGGATTATAAGAATCGGTCAGACACTCAGAACAAACATTACTTCAAGTGATTCCAGTGACTTAAGTGGCATCTTAAGTGAATCATCAGCAAACAAGCAATTACAAGACATTTAAGTGGACAGTGGCTGTAAACACTTGCAGAACGTATACACAGAGACATTATAAAAGATTGCCAACTTAGCAGTCAAACCCCCAGGTTACCCCGACCGGAGCTGAGCGCAGCCGAGCCTACCCGAGTGTGGGCTGAGATTACTACAGCGAACACTACATCACCGGAGTTTAGGAAGGTTGTCAAAGTGGTTCCAGACAATCAAACAATCTCTTGCTTAAACAAACAAGACTCGTCGGTCTGCAACAGAGGACAGCCCCAAATCAGCCCCCAGGCCGATCGCACCAACCCAGTTGTCAGCCCCCCAGGTGGATCGCAGTAAGACGTGACGTCATCCTTTTTTATTAAAAATTTTATTTACTATTAACTAACTATTATTTTTTACTACATTTTCGCCCCCCGCCCCCGGGCCCCGATGTGGGTCAGTGACCTGTGCCCGGGTGGACTAATCCCCGTAAGACAATTAAAAAAAGTACTACACAGGTAACGTGCCACACTAGGCAGTGTGCCATATCATACTAGACAACCTGCCACACCAGGCAATTTGTGAAAAAACTACATTCCACAATAGGAAACGTGCTACACTACGAAACCTGCCACAATAGGTAGAGTGTCACTCTAGGCAAAGTAACACACTAGGTAAAGTGCCACACTAGGTGACACGCCACACCACGTAACATGCCACTAGATAACGTGCCACACTAGATAACGTGCCACACTTGGTGACAAGCCACACTAGACAAAATATCACACTAGTGACACACTAGGTAATTTGCCGCTGTAGGTAACATGTTACAATCCACACAGGGTAACATGCCACACTAGACAACTGTTACGAGTTGGGGATTTAGAATATAGTTAAAAGTCTACCCAGATCCCAACAGGCAACAACAAAAAAAAAACAAAGACAATCGGACTATAAAAGGGTAGACAAAGGATGAGAGTTTTTGTTGTGTATAATAAAGTACCATAAATTCCTTAACAAAATAATCAGCTTTCTATAATTTACCCTTAACCATACTTAACCTAAACATTAACAGTATATACATATTTATACAACATACAATAATTTGAAGCAAGGTGGACGCGGGGAGGCAATACAAGATTACAAATACTTAAGTGCGGAGCTGACATGGCTGACGAGTAAGGCTGAGTATTGTAGAAGACGGTAGGTAGTCACTGTGCCATAGGTTTCCAGGATAGGTGATCCTGTGGTCACTTCCAAGAGTGAACTGAACTCTCCTCGAACTGGAGCTGACAAAGAAGACTTTGAGGAGGTGACGCAACAACCAGGATATGGAGAAGGGAAACCCCGGAGTGGTAACTAAGACGAGTCATACTCGTGTTTCGTCCCTAGATGGCGTTCCTCGTGGTGCTGGGTAGGTAGATCAAGACAATAGATGGCGTGGTTCGTAGTGCTGGGTAGGTAGATCATGACAATTGGTGGCTGGGTTCGTAACACACCCCCCCTCCAAAGACCTCCGTAGCGCGGGCGCGAAGGAGGTGATCACCTGGTGCGTCTGGAGAGTAGCTGCTGCATTTCCACTGGAGCTCGGGATAAGGAGTCCACAATCATGTTGTCCACCCCCTTTATGTGCCGGACTTGTAGATTATAGGGCTGGGTGAGGAGAGCCCAGCGGAAGATTCGCTGGTTGGAGGTCTTGTTGGTTTGGATGAACGTGAGTGGGTTATGGTCGGTGAAGACGAGGGTTGTTTGTGGGCAAGACTGGAGGTAACATTCAAACTTCTTTATTGCCAACACCAGAGCCAGGGCCTCCTTCTCTATGGTCGAGTAGTTGGTCTGATGTTTTTTCAACTTGGCGGAGTAGTATGCCACAGGGTGAAGGACATCAGTGGTTGGGTCGGGTTGTAGGAGCACAGCCCCCACTCCGACACCGCTAGCGTCGATTTGCAGATGGAAGGGCAAGGTGTAGTCAGGGGGGTGGACTACAGGCTTGGAGGCAAGGAAGGCTTTGAGGCGGTGGAAAGACTGGTCGCACCTCTGGTTCCAGATGTAAGGGACCGCAGAACTGGTAAGGTCTGTGAGGGGTCCGGCCACGCTGGAGAAGTTACTGCAGAACCGACGGTAGTAGCCGCACATCCCCAGGAAGCGCATGAGTTCCTTCCTCGTCCTTGGAGTGGGGAAGGACAAGATGGCTTTAACGTTTGCGTCCTTGGGTCTCACCATACCATGTCCAACGATATGTCCCAGGTAAGTCACTGAGGCCCGGCCAAAAGCAGATTTAGCCAGGTTTATGGTGAATCCAGTCTCTTGCAGTCGTGCGAACAGTATCTCCAAACGCACCAGATGTTCGTCCCAGCCGTCCGACACCACCACCAGGTCATCCAGGTAGGCGAACGTCCCACCTAGGTCCTGAATCAGGTGATTGATTGCCCTCTGGAATGTGGCCGGAGCATTAGAAAAGCCAAACGCCATAACCAAATATTGAAAAAGACCAAATGGAGTTATAAATGCTGAGATTATTTTTGCCCTATCGGTGAGTCCCACTTGATAATATCCTTTCAACAGGTCCTGATAAATTTTGCACAGCCTATGCTGTCTATTATATCTTCAATCAAAGGTAAAGGGTAGGAGTCTGAGACAGTGACTTTAGGAAATGTCGATAATAACTTAGTGAGATCTTTTGCTTGAAATGGATTCAGAACAGAAAAATACTCATCCAAGTTGTTGAGTATGTGACTGTTAGCAGGGTTTTCTTTAGGTAGAGGGAAGTCTAAATTCTCGAATAGGTCCATGTCATCTGTCTCCGGCTCCGGCCCTGACAAAACCGTATGCAATACAGGTAGGCTTATAGCCTCTGGGATGTCTTCCTCTGACTGCCTGGAATGGTAAAGTTTCATGAGATTAATGTGAACAAGTTGTGAATCTTTTCTGCGATCAGGAGTATGGACTATATAGTTGAGGGGAGATAGTTTATTAGCATTGACTTGAAAGTTTTGATGGAACCGTTCAAAGCAACCTTGGGACGGTGGGTGGTAAGCCGAAGATGTACAATGGTCCACACTGAGGTCTTTCATCACCTGTTTGAACAAAGATGGATCAGATTGTTGGGCTTTAACGAGCTCATCCTTACTAATGGTCTTATTGTACAGATCTTCTGTGGGTAGGAAGATATTGGAGGTGGTTTTAGATGAAGATGGCCCATTTCGCACACTCTGTGACCGGGTGACAGCACAAGATGGGAAAAGGT